CATTTTAACCTCTATCTTTTTCAGAAAAAAAAGATTACTTTTTTAACAAAATCTATTTTGCTGATCAATTCGGAAAGTATTCATACAGATCAACCCTTGAGAACCTTTTCCCATTTTGTTACGTTACAACCTATTCTAAAATTGATTAAATTGTTTTTTCCCCTCATCAATCCAACACATAACCCATAATGACAAGCAAAAACAGGTTTTAGATTTTTTTTCAAATTAGTTTAAAAATATAAACCGGAAATATCACCTTTAAATAAGTATTCAGACCCTTGACTCAGTACTTTGTTGAAGCACCTTTGGCAGCGATTGACAGCATTGGAGTCTTCTTGTGGTGAGCACACCTGTATTGGGGGAGTTTATCCTCATCTTCTCTGCAGATATCCTATCAAGCTCTGTCGGGTTTGGATGGTGGAGCATCACGTGCACAGCTATTTTCCGGTCTCCTCTCCAGCGATGTTCGATCGGGTTTCAAAGTACCGGGCCTCTGGCTGGGGCCACTCAAGGACATTCAGAGACATGTCCCAAAGCCACTCCTGCATTGTATTGACTGTGTGCTTAGGGTCATTGTCCTGTTGGAAGGTGAACCTTCGCCCCAGTCTGAGGTCCTGAGCGCTCTGGAGCAGGTTTTCATGAAGGATCTCTCTGTACTTTGCTCAATTCATCTTTCTCTTGATCCTGACTAGTCTCCCAGTCCCTGCCGCTGAAAAACATCCCCACAGCATGATGCTGCCACCACCATGCTTCCCCGTAGGGATGGTGCTGGGTTTCCTCCAGACGTGACGCTTGGCATTCAATCTTGGTTTCATCAGACCAGAGAATCTTGTTTCTCATGCTCTGAGAGTCTTTAGGTGCCTTTTGGCAAACTCCAAGCGGGCTATCATGTGCCTTTTACTAAAAACCTGTTTTTGCTTTGTCATTATGGGGTATTGTTGTAGATTGATGAGGGAATTGTTTTATTTCATCCATTTTAGAAGAAGGCTGTAACGTAACAAACTGTGGAAAAAGTAAAGGGGTCTGAATACTCTCCGAATGCACTATAAAATCATATAATTTCCGGGATGTCCTTGTCCTATCACGCTCTAGCGACTCCTGTGGCGGGCCTGGCACATGCATGCTGACATTGGTCGCCAGTTGTACGGTGTTTCCTCCGACACATTGATGCAGCTGGCTTCCGGGTTAAGTGAGCAGTGTGTCAAGAAGCAGTGCGGCTTGGCAAGGTCGTGTTTCGGAGGACGCATGGCTCTCGACCTTTGCCTCTCCCGAGTCTGTACGGGAGTTGCAGCGATGGGACAAGACCATAACTACCAATTGGATATCACGAAATTGGGGAGAAAAAGGTTGTGTACAAAAATGTTTAATAAAAGGCTCCCTGCAAGGTGGGGTATTGAAATGTATTGAAAACTGGGGTGCCAATCATTTTAACCTCTATCTTTTTCAGAAAAAAAAAGATTACTTGTTAAACAAAATCTATTTTGCTGAGCATTCGGAAAGTATTCAGACCCCTTGACCTTTTCCACATTTTGTTACGTTACAACCTTATTCTAAAATTGACTAAATTGTTTTTCCCCCTCATCAATCTACACACAATAACCCATAATGACAAAGCAAAAACAGGTTTTTAGATTTTTTTTCAAATTAGTTAAAAATATAAACCGGAAATATCACATTTAAATAAGTATTCAGACCCTTGACTCAGTACTTTGTTGAAGCACCTTTGGCAGCGATTACAGCATTGAGTCTTCTTGGGTGAGCACACCTGTATTTGGGGAGTTTATCCCATTCTTCTCTGCAGATCCTCTCAAGCTCTGTCAGGTTGGATGGGGAGCATCGCTGCACAGCTATTTTCCGGTCTCTCCAGCGATGTTCGATCGGGTTCAAGTCCGGGCTCTGGCTGGGCCACTCAAGGACATTCAGAGACATGTCCCAAAGCCACTCCTGCATTGTATTGACTGTGTGCTTAGGGTCATTGTCCTGTTGGAAGGTGAACCTTCGCCCCAGTCTGAGGTCCTGAGCGCTCTGGAGCAGGTTTTCATGAAGGATCTCTCTGTACTTTGCTCAATTCATCTTTCTCTTGATCCTGACTAGTCTCCCAGTCCCTGCCGCTGAAAAACATCCCCACAGCATGATGCTGCCACCACCATGCTTCCCCGTAGGGATGGTGCTGGGTTTCCTCCAGACGTGACGCTTGGCATTCAATCTTGGTTTCATCAGACCAGAGAATCTTGTTTCTCATGCTCTGAGAGTCTTTAGGTGCCTTTTGACTAACTCCAAGCGGGCTATCATGTGCCTTTTACTAAAAACCTGTTTTTGCTTTGTCATTATGGGGTATTGTGTGTAGATTGATGAGGGAATTGTTTTATTTCATCCATTTTAGAAGAAGGCTGTAACGTAACAAACTGTGGAAAAAGTAAAGGGGTCTGAATACTCTCCGAATGCACTATAAAATCATATAATTTCCGGGATGTCCTTGTCCTATCACGCTCTAGCGACTCTGTGGCGGGCCTGGCCACATGCTGCTGACATTGGTCGCCAGTTGTACGGTGTTTCCTCCGACACATTGATGCAGCTGGCTTCCGGGTTAAGTGAGCAGTGTGTCAAGAAGCAGTGCGGCTTGGCAAGGTCGTGTTTCGGAGGACGCATGGCTCTCGACCTTTGCCTCTCCCGAGTCTGTACGGGAGTTGCAGCGATGGGACAAGACCATAACTACCAATTGGATATCACGAAATTGGGGAGAAAAAGGTTGTGTACAAAAATGTTTAATAAAAGGCTCCCTGCAAGGTGGGGTATTGAAATGTATTGAAAACTGGGGTGCCAATCATTTTAACCTCTATCTTTTTCAGAAAAAAAAAGATTACTTGTTAAACAAAATCTATTTTGCTGAGCATTCGGAAAGTATTCAGACCCCTTGACCTTTTCCACATTTTGTTACGTTACAACCTTATTCTAAAATTGACTAAATTGTTTTTCCCCCTCATCAATCTACACACAATAACCCATAATGACAAAGCAAAAACAGGTTTTTAGATTTTTTTTTCAAATTAGTTAAAAATATAAACCGGAAATATCACATTTAAATAAGTATTCAGACCCTTGACTCAGTACTTTGTTGAAGCACCTTTGGCAGCGATTACAGCATTGAGTCTTCTTGGGTGAGCACACCTGTATTTGGGGAGTTTATCCCATTCTTCTCTGCAGATCCTCTCAAGCTCTGTCAGGTTGGATGGGGAGCATCGCTGCACAGCTATTTTCCGGTCTCTCCAGCGATGTTCGATCGGGTTCAAGTCCGGGCTCTGGCTGGGCCACTCAAGGACATTCAGAGACATGTCCCAAAGCCACTCCTGCATTGTATTGACTGTGTGCTTAGGGTCATTGTCCTGTTGGAAGGTGAACCTTCGCCCCAGTCTGAGGTCCTGAGCGCTCTGGAGCAGGTTTTCATGAAGGATCTCTCTGTACTTTGCTCAATTCATCTTTCTCTTGATCCTGACTAGTCTCCCAGTCCCTGCCGCTGAAAAACATCCCCACAGCATGACGCTGCCACCACCATGCTTCACCGTAGGGATGGTACCAGGTTTCCTCCAGACGTGACGCTTGGCATTCAGGCCAAAGAGTTCAATCTTGGTTTCATCAGACCAGAGAATCTTGTTTCTCATGCTCTGAGAGTCCTTTAGGTGCCTTTTGGCAAACTCCAAGCGGGCTATCATGTGCCTTTTACTAAAAACCTGTTTTTGCTTTGTCATTATGGGGTATTGTGTGTAGATTGATGAGGGAATTGTTTTATTTCATCCATTTTAGAAGAAGGCTGTAATGTAACAAACTGTGGAAAAAGTGAAGGGGTCTGAATACTCTCCGAATGCACTATAAAATCATATAATTTCCCTTTTTTTTTAGCATACATAAAATATAGCTCAGTATTATTTCTTTATTTTATACAGTCTTTTTTTGCTCATCTTTATCAAGGCCAATAATTATGGACCTGTCTGTATGTTTACGAGAAATACAGTTTTTAAACGCTATCCAATCTTAACCACTGAATTTCCACTTGTTCTACCCAGCATTTACCAAGTTTTGACTCAGTAGATTGCTGAAGTTTTATTTGATTATAATATCATACAAATCCTCTTTACAATGTAACAAGACAGATTCTCAATATGCGATGTTTAATTTCAATAGAATTAATCACTTGGCTATAAATTAAGGATAAAGTTAAAATAGTGAATAGATAAAGTAATTGTTTCATACACCACAAAAGTCTGATAATAATTTTGTGTGAAGATGAGGGATTCCCCCACACACTTCCTTATTTGCAGCAATATAAACCCAGAGACAACATCATTCAGTCTCAGAACACAGATCTTGATCGTCAACCTCAGTAGACACCAGCCGACCACAGCCAACGCAGACCCAACCAACGCAGAGCCAAAATGCCTTTCAAGCCACACTACCTGTTGGTCGCCCTGACACTCTGCTGGTTCGTGACTCTTCAAGGTGAGATATTGCATCTTTATCTATATGTATCTACATATCCATATCTATGAATCTGTTAAACTTGACTGTCAAACTGTCGACAAACCAAACACATTATCAATTTTTTTTTACTTTTTTTATTCCAATTATCACAATCAATCCATTGCAATTTTAAGTGTCTCAGAGCAGGGTCTCTATTCAATCCGTATCGCGGAAGTTCTGCGTTGCAGCGTGATTGAAATTTAAAGGCAACGCTCCAGCGTTAGCGGAGACTGCATTCACGGTAAACACTGCATGTCGGCTCAATCGGAAATTACCGTTACATTGCTATCATGCAATTTGTAACACTTCAGCGATACAGATTGAATAGAGCGTTGATCTATAATCTGTTTGTCTTTGTAACATACACATATTTCAAAGTGCAACTTTTAGTGATGATTTTAAGATTTTAAGCCTATCCCTTAACCTTAACTCCAACCTTAACCCCAAATCCGAACATTACTATATTGTTATTGTATGTAATAATAATGGTCTTCATCCCTGCAGCATTCCCCATGATTGGCTGTGCTGCATGTTCGAAGTGTCGCTGCATTCGGACGTCCTCTGATTTCATCTCTCCTAGGCTGTACCACAAGATAGAGATCTTAACTCCAGGAGCCCACTGTCGCCAAACAGAGATCATGTGAGTCAACTAACACCAACTAACAACAGTCAATATCACTTTCACAGTCAAAAAGCAAGCCGAAATCTACCTCTCAAATGTTTTAAAAAAACATTACTTAAAAAATGTAACATTAACCTAATAAAAACTGTTCTGAATAAATGAGGTTTGTACAGTAGCCCTAATACATTACCACAGCATATTGGCTACACTCTTAGAAAAAAAGGTGCTATCTAGAACCCAACAGGGTTTTCAGCTGTCCCCATACGAGAACCCTTTTTGGTTCCAGGTAGAACCCTTTTGGGTTCCATGTAGAACCCTTTCCACTTTTTTCTAAGTGTGTATATGCCTGTCCTGCAAATATTGTCCTTCTCAGACCATATTATATTTCAAAACTCGAGCTTTGATTACAAAATAGATCAGTTGGTGTAGCACTTGCGAGGCACAGCTGAGCATAAATTGAAATAATTGGCTTTTATTTTACTGGACTGATGGTATCTGAATCTGTCATGGTGCTTTCAAGACAACTGGGAACTCGGGGGAAAAAAACGAGGTCAAATCCTGACGTCAGTGATCTTCATGTCGGAAAGGCTGGGTTCTAGAAAGATGCCCCAGTTTCCGACTTGCAATTTCGAGTTGGATGACCGTTCAAAACTAATTTTTAGTTTCCAGTTGTCTTGAACACACTCACTTCGAAGTCTGAGATTTCCGAGTTCCCAGTTGTTTTGAACACCGCATAAGTCTCAGCGGAGGGAGGGAGCGAGCAGCAGAGAGTCCGCCTCTGACGGCCCCTGCTCTCTCCTTCCTTTCCTCCGGTGAGACTGACCAGAGAGAGGGGACACAATCTTCCACCTGGTGGCGAAACTCGAGTCATGTTGTTCCTATGTCCAGAGAAAGTGAAATATTCCTTGATATTAAAATAGACACGACGAGCTGCTAATAATAATAAAAACGCAGGGTATCGATACACTACTCATTCATTGCTGCTGCAGCGCAACGGGAAGTAGAGAGAAGCACGTTTTATGTTTTGTAATAGTGTTGAATAAAAACAGTGACAGAGCTGAATAAACACTTAGACATGAACTCACTCATAAAAACAGCAGATCTTTTCTGTATTATTTGACAGTCTCTCTCTGGTCATGGTTTAAAAAGTTATGATACGTAGGCTAGTATCAATCTGTGTTGTGGCGGGGGTCGTGGAAGCTGTGATTTGAGCTATCGGATTGTCCAGCACAGTAGGCGCACTCGATTTACCACAGATATCCCCGTCCGCCTGTTAGGCGGAGTTTGTCTTTCCAGACAAATGAAATTGTTGAAAATGTGAACACTTTGCCTACCCGGTGCGCAAGACTTCTGAATCAAGTGGACCTATCCGCAACAGCACAACGGATTTAAAAAAAGGAGCGCGAGCCTTTTTCATTGGCTTTTCTGCAGTAATGTTTGGTGATCCACTAGGAATACCTTGTTGGTAACCACTGGCCTAGCGGAATCTCTATGCTTTTTTTGTCCAGGCTTCATCTGTGTCCTGGAAACCGCCCCTAAATGGTTACATGCCTCTATTTTGACATGAAACCATGGTGGCTGTCATTGTCTCCACACGTGAGTCAGTCGGTGAGGGCTTGAACGAAGCGCTAAACTGTGCTTTTCGAATGCATAGGGGGAGGAAGCGTGGGAGATAGGTCGTGGTGGATGGGGAAAATAATTAGTACGTTTAGTTGCTTTACTGCCTGCCATGCAAATCAATCATTAGTCACTGATGATGAGTTCAAGGTTCCTATGCATAACCAAGGCTAAGACATTGTAATAAATGTGGGCATTTGCAGTGGTAGCCTATGACAATTTCCCCGAAACTCAGTATGTGGCAGGGACTCCAGACAATCACAGATTACAAATATTTTCAAGGCCATCCTTTCAACTATTGCTGTATATACAGTATACTATTCTATCCTACATATTATACAGATATACTAATTATTATATCCACATACTGTCCATAATGACTATACATTCAATCACACACATATACATATACATACAGTGCATTCGGAAAGTATTCAGACCCCTTGACTTTTTCCACATTTTATTATGTTACAGCCTTATTCTAAAATGGATTAAGTAAAAAATTGTCCTCATCAATCTACACATAATACCCCATAATGACAAAGCAAAAACAGGTTTTTAGAAAGGTTAGCAAATTTATGAAAAATAAAAACAGAAATACCTTATTTACATAAGTATTCAGACTCGTTGCTATGAGACTCAAAATTGAGCTCAGGTGCATCCTGTTTCCATTGATCATCCTTGAGATGTTTCTACAACTTGATTGGAGTCCACCTGTGGTAACTCCCGGGAGGGAGGTAGCTCAGTTGGTAGAGCATGGCGTTTGCAACGCCAGGGTTGTGGGTTCGATTCCCACGGGGCGCCAGTATGATAAAAATAATGAATGCACTAACTGTAAGTCGCTCTGGATAAGAGCGTCTGCTAAATGACGTAAATGTAAATGTAATGTAAATGTAAATTCAATTGATTGGACATGATTTAGAAAGGCACACACCTGTCTATGCAAGGTCCCACAGTTGACAATGCATGTCAGAGCAAAAACTAAGCCAGGAGGTCGAAGTAATTGTCCGTAGAACTCAGAGACAGCATTGTGTCGAGGCACAGATCTGGGGAAGGGTACCAAAACATTACTGCAGCATTGAAGGTCCCCAAGAACACAGTGGCCTCCATCATTCTTAACTGGAAGAAGTTTGGAACCACCAAGACTCTTCCTAGAGCTAGCCGCAGGCCAAAGTGAGCAATCGGGGGAGAAGGGCCTTGGTCAGGGAGGTGACCAAGAACCTGATGGTCACTCTGACAGAGCTCTAGAGTTCCTCTGTGGAGATGGGAGAACCTTCCAGAAGGACAACCATCTCTGCAGCACTCCACCAATCAAGCCTTTATGGTAGAGTGGCCAGACAGAAGCCACTCCTCAGTAAAAGGCACATGACAGCCCGCTTGGAGTTTGCCAAAAGGCACCTAAAGACTCAGACCATGAGAAACAAGATTCTCTGGTCTGATGAAACCAAGATTGAACTCTTTGGCCTGAATGCCAAGCGTCACGACTGGAGGAAACCTGGCACCATCCCTACAGTGAAGCATGGTGGTGGCAGCATCAATGCTGTGGGGATGTTTTTCAGTGACAGGGACTGGGAGACTAGTCAGGATCGAGACAAAGATGAACGGAGCAAAGTACAGAGAGATCCTTGATGAAAACCTGCTCCAGAGCACTCAGGACCTCAGACTGGGGTGAAGGTTCACCTTCCAACAGGACAACGACCCTAAGCACACAGCCAAGACAACGCAGGAGTGGCTTCGGGACAAGTCTCTGAATGTCTTTGAGTGGCCCAGCCAGAGCCCGGACTTGAACCCGATCAAACATCTCTGGAGACACCTGAAAATAGCTGTGCAGCGACGCTCCCCATCCAACCTGACAGAGCTTGAGAGGATCTGCAGAGAAGAATGGGAGAAACTCCCCAAATACAGGTGTGCCAAGCTTGTAGAGTCAGACCCAAGAAGACTCGAGGTTGTAATCGCTGCCAAAGGTGCTTCAACAAAGTACTGAGTAAAGGGTCTGAATACTTATGTAAATGTGGCTGAAATTTATAAAAACCTGTTTTTGCTTTGTCATTATGGGGTATTGTGTGTAGATTGATGTAGGGAAAAACAACTATTTAATCAATTTTAGAATAAGGCTGTTATGTAACAAAATGTGGAAAAAAATCAAGGGGTCTGAATACTTTCCGTCAGAGTGACCATCGGGCTCTTGGTCACTCCACCATATACATACACATACAGTACCAGTCAAAAGTTTTAGAAAACCTACTCATTCAAGGGTTTTTCTTTATTTTTACTATTTTCTACATTGGAGAATAATAGTGAAGACATCAAAACTATGAAATAACACATATGGAATCATGTAGTAACCAAAGAAGTATTAAAAAAATCAAAATATATGTTATATTTGAGATCCTTCAAATACCCACCCTTTGCCTTGATGACAGCTTTGCACACTTTTAGCATTCTCTCAACCAGCTTCACCTGGAATGATTTTCCAACAGACTTGAAGGAGTTCCCACATATGCTGAGCACTTGTTGGCTGCTTTTCCTTCACTCTGCGGTCCGACTCATCCCAAACCATTTCAATGCCCTGGCTGAGGGAAGGAGGTTCTCACCCAAGATTTGACAGTACATGGCCCCGTCCATCATCCCTTTGATGCAGTGAAGTTGTCCTGTCCCCTTAGCAGAAAAACACCCCCAAAGCATAATGTTTCCACCTCCATGTTTGACGGTGGGGATGGTGTTCTTGGGGTCATAGGCAGCATTCCTCCTCCTCCAAACACAGCGAGTTGAGTTGATGCCAAAGAGCTCCATTTTGGTCTCATCTGACCACAACACTTTCACCCAGTTCTCCTCTGAATCATTCAGATGTTCATTGGCAAACTTCAGACGGGCCCATATATGTGCTTTCTTGAGCAGGGAGACCTTGCGGGCACTGCAGGATTTCAGTCCTTCACGGCGTAGTGTGTTACCAATTGTTTTCTTGGTGACTATGGTCCCAGCTGCCTTGAGATCATTGACAATCCATAGACTGATCATGTCTTTGTCAGTGGGCAAACATACAAAATCATCAGGGGATCAAATACTTTCTTCCCTCACTGTATATATATATATAAATATTAGGACGAGCAATGTCGGAGTCCTTTTGAACGGTAGTATATATATATATATATATATACTACCGTTCAAAAGGACTCCGACATTGCTCGTCCTAATATTTATATATTTCTTAATTCCATTATTTTACTTAGATTTGTATGTATTGTTAGATATTACTGCACATGCATATTGACACTTTATTATATGTTTTATTCTACAGCATATGATATAACCATAGTCACGTAATTGCTGTAATAAATCCCTCCCTTTCATTCATCAGCATTACCAAGAAGGACAAAGCCACCGTCTGTGTGACTCCAGATGCAAGATGGATCAAAAAAGTCATTTCCAAGTTACAAAGGTAAATATAACACTAACACACACACACACACACACGAGCACACACAGGAGCACACACACACACACACTTGTTGATTTTAACACAGACCATCTCTTTCTACAGTAACAAGAAGAAGAAGAGAAGTGCAGATGTCTAAACCACCATCGAGTCAATTCGAACAGAAATGTATAAATAAAATGCACATCATAGTTCAATCTGGAGCTAAATGGAATGCGCACAACATGAGTGCATGTAATACCAATGCATTACATTCTAATATGATGCTAATACCAAATGAATTAGTTTCTCTTAAATGATCTCAGTATGTAATGAATGTGATTATTTCATTTCTTTATCATGTATTGTATTGTAAATAAACACAACCTATACAATATGTACTTTTAAAAAATGACAATTTTATTGCCTGAGGAGGAAGGGTGAAAGACAATAATACAATTTATGATGCACATGTATACTATCTAGTTGATGTGAGCATAAAACAATAAAACAACAAAGCTATAGTAAGTCAGCACCTCCGCCTCTGATTGGTTGACAGACAGATTCCACTCCCAGTAAGAGGTGGGACTGGGGTGGTCATAGTTGACCTGCTCTTTGGGGGTCATAGGTTATTTTCAAACCTCCTGGTCGTAGTTGAGGCCTTGTGTCCACAGAGATAGAGGAATGTAGAGGGATATAACCCGTTTTAACATGGACAGAGGAATGTAGAGGGATATAACCCATTTTAACATGGACAGAGGAATGTAGATGGATATAACCCGTTTTAACATGGACAGAGGAATGTAGAGGGATATAACTAGTTTTAACATGGACAGAGGAATGTAGAGGGATATAACCCGTTTTAACATGGACAGAGGAATGTAGAGGGATATAACCCGTTTTAACATGGACAGAGGAATGTAGAGGGATATAACTAGTTTTAACATGGACAGAGGAATGTAGAGGGATATAACCCGTTTTAACATGGACAGAGGAAGGTAGAGGGATATAACCCGTTTTAACATGGACGTTGCCATTGAGGACTTTCACCATTTTAAAGTAGTCAACTGGGTGGGGATTCCAATGGGGTTGGGAGCGATCAGCCAATGATCAGAGCATTGTCTTCTTCTTCAAATTGGGTTGGCTATGGTTAGTAAAAGCTATATCACCGCCATCTGGTGGCCACAATAAATAAAGTACAAGGTTTGGTAAAGGACTCCAGCACTGCAGGTGGCGTTTAATCACTAATATTAGCGATACACTTTTTTCAAACACAAAAGAAGAAGAAAATGGAGACAGCATCAATGGTACTACCTCTCAGACGGCATAATGGCATTGATACAAAGAACTCCCGAGTGGCGCAGTGGTCTAAGGCACTGCATTGCAGTGCTAGCTGTGCCACTAGAGATCCTGGTTCGAATCCAGGCTCTGTCGTAGCCGGCCGGACCGGGAGACCCATGGGGGCGGCGCACAATTGGTCCAGGGTAGGGGAGCGAATGGCCGGCAGGGATGTAGCTCAGTTGGTAGAGCATGGCGTTTGCAACGCCAGGGTTGTGGGTTTGATTTCCACGGGGGGTATGAAAAATTATAAAATATGTCACTAACTGTAAGTCGCTCTGGATAAGAGCGTCTGATAGTAAATGTGATAAGCCCTCTGTATAGCTCTATGTTCTTACCCAAACACTATAGTCTACTTCCTTGATCCCATGGTCAATATAAATGTATTGGCCTTTGACCTCTGTCCAGCCTCGGTGTCAAATGTGTTGTATGATTATGGGTATAAAGTGTTGAAACCCACCACTTGTACGTAAACCATATACAGTGGGGGGGAAAAAAAGTATTTAGTCAGCCACCAATTGTGCAAGTTCTCCCACTTAAAAAGATGAGAGAGGCCTGTAATTTTCATCATAGGTACACGTCAACTATGACAGACAAATTGAGATTTTTTTCTCTCCAGAAAATCACATTGTAGGATTTTTAATGAATTTTTTTGCAAATTATGGTGGAAAATAAGTATTTGGTCACCTACAAACAAGCAAGATTTCTGGCTCTCACAGACCTGTAACTTCTTCTTTAAGAGGCTCCTCTGTCCTCCACTTGCAAATTGTATTAATGGCACCTGTATTGTTACCTGTATTAATGGCACCTGTTTGAACTTATCAGTATAAAAGACACCTGTCCACAACCTCAAACAGTCACACTCCAAACTCCACTATGGCCAAGACGAAAGAGCTGTCAAAGGACACCAGAAACAAAATTGTAGACCTGCACCAGGCTGGGAAGACTGAATCTGCAATAGGTAAGCAGCTTGGTTTGAAGAAATCAACTGTGGGAGCAGTGGCGGCTCCTGAAAAAATTCTCAGGAGGGGCAATTTTTCTGATGATTTAGGTGACCTACACACATTTTAAAAAAGATATGTCCAGCAACAACATGAAGACAGGGGCAGCATATAAGTCAATACCAGAAGCATTTATTGACGGATCTGGGGAGATGGATTCCAGTTTCTGTGACAGATTATAAATAATCTCTGATGCCTTTGTTATATTAGCTTTTGGTTGAATGTACTGTCGTAGTAAATATATAATGTTATAGCTTGGTCTGACTAAAATCTTGTGCATATCCACCCTGTCCAAAGTCTCTACTTGGTCTCAGTTCTCCAGTAAACTTGTGATTATCAACAGTACACAACGGTAACAAACAATTGGGGGAACTCACGGGGCAGATAGTAAGGTCACAGTGACACAGAAAGCAGTTCAATGTCGGGGCTCGGGGGTACAGAGTCGCTCTCTTACCAGGATCGATTTTCCCTGTGACTGTCAGATCGAGGTCCGCTCCGACCAGGGTGAAGCCGGCCGGCTCCACTTCTCTGTCCGGGACTCTGTCATCCAGCCAAGTCTCCCAGCTGTATTGGATTCCGCTGCCAGCAACGTTTTCATTATTTAGTCCGTTCGTAGCGGGTATGTACACGATCAACAAGATCAGTCCAAAACCCACCACTCGAAATCCATGGTTGGCAGAATGTTTGTAAACTAAGTGTACAAATTAAAAACATAAAATAACGCCACTAAGTGTACAAATTAAAAACATAAAATAACGCCACACTGCAGGTCGCAAAGAGACTCTGCTAGCCGCTATTTGCTTAGTTACGTTCATGGTTACGTCACGTATGACGAAAGCGCGTAAGTGCAAGCCCACAGACACCCATAGAGAATGTATTGAAAGCTTTGAAATTTGAAAAAAATAGATTTTACATGACAGGCTATGAGAGACTTCTGGGCGATTTTCAACCTGACTGAAATCGCCCAAAAACGGGCGGGGCCATTTGAAGCACGACTTTAGCCTGATTTGACATTTAGTGGCAGTCAGATCAGATTACAACACTGATAACTACTGTTGCCGTGATATAATTGATTAGAAAAAAAATCCCTTCCTTTTCCCGTTTGGCAGTGCGTCGCCCATATCGCCCTTTTGAACAGGCCGTCCCTGTGTGGGAGCAATTATTAGGAAATGGAAGACATACAAGACCACTGATAATCTCCCTCGATCTGGGGCTCCACGCAAGATCTCACCCCGTGGGGTCAAAATGATCACAAGAACGGTGAGCAAAAATCCCAGAACCACACGGGGGGACCTAGTGAATGACCTGCAGAGAGCTGGGACCAAAGTAACAAAGCCTACCATCAGTAACACACTACGCTGCCAGGGACTCAAATCCTGCAGTGCCAGACGTGTCCCCCTGCTTAAGCCAGTACATGTCCAGGCCCGTCTGAAGTTTGCTAGAGTGCATTTGGATGACCCAGAAGAGGATTGGGAGAATGTCATATGGTCAGATGAAATCAAAATATAACTTTTTGTTAAAAACTCAACTCATCGTGTTTGGAGGACAAAGAATGCTGAGTTGCATCCAAAGAACACCATACCTACTGTGAAGCATGGGGGTGGAAACATCATGCTTTGGGGCTGTTTTTCTGAAAAGGGACCAGGACGACTGATCCGTGTAAAGGAAAGAATGAATGGGGCCATGTATCGTGAGATTTTGAGTGAAAACCTCCTTCCATCAGCAAGGGCTGGGTCTTTCAGCATGACAATGATACCAAACACACCGCCCGGGCAACGAAGGAGTGGCTTCGTAAGAAGCATTTCAAGGTCCTGGAGTTGCCTAGCCAGTCTCCAGATCTCAACCCCATAGAAAATCTTTGGAGGGAGTTGAAAGTCTGTGTTGCCCAGCGACAGCCCCAAAACATCACTGCTCTAGAGGAGATCTGCATGGAGGAATGGGCCAAAATACCAGCAACAGTGTGTGAAAACCTTGTGAAGACTTACAGAAAACGTTTGACCTGTGTCATTGCCAACAAAGGGTATATAACAAAGTATTGAGAAACTTTTGTTATTGACCAAATACTTATTTTCCCACCATAATTTGCAAATAAATTCATAAAACTCTGTGCCAAAGTAAGAAATAAAGTCTGCCAAACAATGACATGAATAAACAAATAAAAACAGTCCGCTCTGAAATCAAATCAACAACTATCACCACTTCCGACTTCTACATTCAGAAACAGACGGAACGTGTGCAGCTGGTGAGATGAAACATTGATTTGAATGACACCCTTTTCCCTATTTAGCGCTCTACTTTTGAAATCAAATTTTATTGGCCACATGCGCCGAATACAACAGGTGCAGACATTACAGTGAAATGCTTACTTACAGCCCTTAACCAACAGTGCATTTATTTTTTAATAAAAAAGTAAAATAAAACAACAACAAAAAAGTGTTGAGAAAAAAAGAGCAGAAGTAAAATAAAATAACAGTAGGGAGGCTATATACACAGGGGGGTACCGGTGCAGAGTCAATGTGCGGGGGCACCGGCTAGTTGAGGTAGTTGAAGTAATATGTACATGTGGGTAGAGTTAAAGTGTCTATGCATAAATAATTAACAGAGTAGCAGCAGCGTAAAAATATGGGGGGGGGGGGGCAGTGCAAATAGTCCGGGTAGCCATAATTAGCTGTTCAGGAGTCTTATGGCTTGGGGGTAGAAGCTGTTGAGAAGTCTTTTGGACCTAGACTTGGCACTCCGGTACCGCTTGCCGTGCGGTAGCAGAGAGAACAGTCTATGACTAGGGTGGCTGGAGTCTTTGACAATTTTGAGGGCCTTCCTC